AATATTATTAGATATGGTATTTGAAACTTTCCATAAGAAATAACCCTTGCAAATCACATTGAATATTTGGTTTTATTTTCTGGTGTAATTTTTGGATGTGAGACACCCTGTAAAATAATAGTTTATTAAATCCTGTATTTTTTTCCATTTCAACGATATAGATGTTACACTTTGTAGTTATACCTTTCCATTAACGTCAAGAAGAAATAGTTTCTGATTGCAAAGAAAATTGATTTCATTTTGGATTAACCGGTAGGTACCTACCTACAGCATATATCATATAAAAAATAATCAAATATCTCACTAATGCTCAGTAACTGAATTTAATAGTCTAATGCCCGGTTTATTCACCTCCTGATAAACTGTCAGGCAATGCAATATAACGGATAGACTGGCAATCTATAAATAATCCGATTGGTTGGCCAGTTATCCGCAAACCAATAAGATTAGAGATTGGCCAATTTATCTTCTAGACCAGTGGTTCCCAAACTTTTTTCTTTTGCGCCCCCTTTCTGAAATCAAGGAGTGGTCGCGCCCCCCTTCCTTCCCCCATTATTCAAAAACATTTTTTTTTACTTACTGTAACTCCTCTGAACTGGACTTTGGAAGAGGAATAATGGACATGACAGTGGGCAGCAGCGAGCGTGCGCTGTAGCAATTACTGTATTCCTTTTATACATCGAGTTACACCGAACGTGTCACTCTAGAGCTCCTCGGAGTCACTCCAAAACACACAATTCAGAATAATTCAGATATTAGAGAGTTCTCGTGCTGTCCAAATTTCAAATACCGTAGCATTATTTAACAAGTATGACAGTTCTTACGGTATTAGCGTTAGCGGAGCCGCCCGCTACCTAACGGAAGTTAGCGGATGCCTTACCGTAACGCTATGCTATGTCAAAATTAGTTTACGCTCCATTTACGTCTGTAAGAACAGCAACTTCTAATAATTCCTCGATAAAAAACACCAAGGAAAAATTATTGAAACTCAGGAATCTTCAGGATAAATAAAAGTTGGCGAACAAGCAAAAAAAAGTTGGGTTAGATCACTCAATCCAGCTGTCAAAATGTAAACAGAATAAGGAATTAGAGGATTTTTGTGACTTCGTGTCCGACAACTATAAAATACCATTTAAAATACCGTATTGTTAGCGGTACCGTATTAGCATAGCGTCTGAGGCACGGGAACTTTCTATTAGAGAGTTCTCGTGCAGTCCAAATTTCAAATACCGTAACGCTATTTGACAAGTATGACAGTTATTACGGTATTAGCGTCAGATACAATTTTCACTTTATACGCTAGATAATGACTACCCTCGAAAAGTGAACATTTGAAGTTTCACCCTGTGTCTCCAAAACGAAACAAGATAGAGACCTGCGGTTTGCGGCATTCGTCATGAAAAATTGGCCCGGGAATGTGGAATCAAAAAAATCTACCTCTACGAGTTTAGCTGTACAGTATGAATCATTGCAATTGGCACATACTATACTCATTTAACATCCCTCGTATTAGGTCGAAATTCTAACCAATAGATCTATTCAGTGCAGCGGTGTACAAATATTTTTTTTCTACAAACGTCACTAAAAGTGTCATTTTTAACGGATGCTGTCAGTGTCTAAAATGCCATTTTTTGACACTGGTGTTAAAAGTGATTACTTTTAGCACTAGTGCCAAAAGTAACCACTTTCAGTGCGTTTGTAGAAAAAATAGTGTATGACATTCGTGCTAAAAGTGATTTTATTTTGTTCAAAGGAATGGAACACTCCGCCTTCGGCGTTGTGTCCCAAACTTCCCTTTTCACAAAATAAAATGTCACTTTTAGCACTTATATCATAAATAACTATTTCCTTCAACAGTTAATTAAAACTATTAGGTATGTTCACCACTGATTTATCAATCTAACACGATATTGACATTACCTGGGTGTCATTGAAGTAAAACTTTGACACATTACGGGGGATGTATATAGTGTGTGCCAATTGCAATGATTCTTACTGTACATTTCTTGGATATTAAACTACCTGTATCTCAAAAACTAGTCATAGGATTGGTGCGGACCCATGAGAACTTTTTATCAGGAAGTCAAGGTTTAACACATATCAAAATTTCATTGAATTTAACAGAAAACCAAATACCCATAAGAGGTGTGCGGGGTCCTTTACCCCAAATTGTTTAACGCGATTTTATTTCTGGAACTATAAATCCAAATGAGCTGAAATTTTCAGGGATTGTAGTTCTCTAATGGAATAAGAATCGCTGAAAATTTCAGCTTCCAATCTATATAATAGAAAAAAGTTATGACTATTCAAAGTTTTCTAAAATCTCAATCATAACGTAAGGACCTCAGTACTAAAACGATGAAATTTCGAATTTCTTTTTGTTGAGATTTTGTGTCTTAATGGAGAAAAATTGAAAAAATGATAAATCACCCCAAATTGCTTAACACGATTTTATTTCTGGAACTATAAGTTCAAATGAATTGAAATTTTCAGGGATTGTAATTCTCTACTGGAATAAGAGCTGTGAAGTTCAGCTTTCTATCTATAATAGAAAAAAAGTTATGACCTTTCAAAGTTTCCCAAAATCTAAATCATAAGGTAGCTCAGTACCTATCTAAAGCGATGAAATTTCAATAATTTTTTTGGTGAGATTTTGTGTCTTAATAATAGTTTTTTGGGATCCCCCAAACTCCATACACTAAATTATTCTAAGATTGGGAGCCGGATTCTATGAAAAAAGGCACTCAGAAAAATTGAAAAATTGATAAATCATCCCAAATTGCCTGACAAGATTTTATTTCTGGACTCTATTGGAAAGGGAATCCCTAAAAATTTCAGCTTTCTATGTGTAAAAAAAAAGTTATGACCTTTCAAAGTTTTTTAAAATTTAAATCATACCTGAGTAGGTATTTGTAAATAAAAAAAAACGAAAATTGCTATTAGTTTGTTTTGGATTCTATCCAATTATTAAACAACGAAGCTGTGAAAGCCACAATTAACAAAAATCTTCATTGACTTAAAATTAACAAAGTTTCTTAGCAAAAAGCACCCAAAACAAATTGAAATTAATCCAGTGTGGAGCTTCAAAATATTACCTATCTTGCTTGAATTACACTTAATAAATTACCTACCAACTAAAGACAAATTGTGAAGATCCTGATGAAAATTACCATTATGTTTTTGCTCCAGTCTCTATTGGAATATAGAAAAATGATGGATTTTTTGGATGAGGGAAATAGGTACCCGAATGAAATTTTTTAAGTGAATAAAGGATTCGGTTTCTTAGAAATGTTTTCTGATCAATACAATAGCGTTTTCAAGTAAGTAAGTATATGGAAAGCCTAAATTTTCTGCTACTTACATTTTGAAAATCACTTAAGTTTCAAGTCACCAAGAAAAAAAAAAACCGTTGATTTTCATTTTTAGAAGGGTTCGCGGTACTATTTTAGGTGCGTTTTTCGTGAAAATCGGCGCTTGCGGGGTGCTTATTCCCACAGGACGTCGCGACGCCCATGGCTTATTTTGGGCGACGCCTGCGACTGCGTCGCTCTTACCGGCCGAACCATAAATGGGCGGTGGAGGCTATTTTCGGGCGACCCGACGAATATTTCGATTTGATTGAGGAATTTCTGTGTTTTACCTATACCTGAGGTTTTTGATTCAATCTCTATTGCAATAGGATTTGAACGTACTTAATAAAAATCTAATATAAATTCAATGCAAATATAATGGAAATATCTGAATTTAAACCTACCATGATTGGTTAATTAGAATTTATAAGGCTCTATATTATACCTAGTAGAAAACTTGTGTAAACCTTGAAAGTTTTGAGGACCGGTTTATCCTCAACAGGCTTCCTCTTCTACATCAGAATCTGTGGTAGAGGGTTTAAAATATGACATATAACAAAAATTTGAAGCATTTGAAGTAAAAATAATGGAGTATGGAATTTTTAAATTCATTCCAGTAATGCTTGACAAGTTTCTGAGATTATTAAACTTCATATTTTTTCAACAACGTTATACTGGAAATGCTAGAGGTTTAACCATGTCCTTTACACCTACACAACCTTCTTCCTGTTTCTTTTCTAAAGGAGATTTTAGAATATTTGGGCAAACATGATAAACCCTAACTTTTGCTTCAGAAACTCTTCCGAGTTTTTCATTTAGGTTAGAACTTTAGGTAAACTTGGAATTTGTACATTTTCTGGTTATAAAAATCAACTTATTGCTTTAAAAAGTCATCAGAGTTTCACATTTCAGTTATAATTATAAATTGTTTTGAGGGCTTTTTTCTAATGAAGAAAGAAAGAAAGAAAGAATTTGCTTTATTGTCAGAAAATTTTACAATTTTGTGGACAAAGCTGAAAAAAAAAAGCAATCAAACCTTCAGTTTCTTTGGGTTCTTTATTAACTGATTCAAATATCGTACATCTTAGTTGTCGGTGTCGTTTTTGGAAAATTTTGCTCAGAAGTAATTAGTGGTTGAATGGCAGCTTTAATTGTATCAGAAGGTTATTCAGTAATAATGATTTATTCAATGATTGATGGCTTCATATGAAAACCAGCTTATTTGGTGACAGAAATTTGATTATACAGTTTTAATTGCTTTTTCTGATGATATTTATCAACATAGAAACTCATGGAATGTTTCTCCTTAGTAGCTTTTGTCTTATCTTTCTCAGAAAACCAATCAAAATCAACCAAACAGCCTACTTTTCTCCAACAATTTCCTCTTTTTCAATACTATTCTGGCGTTTATTCTTTTTAGGAGATTTGAATATTTGCAGGTACCAAATCAACTATGAGGCATGATACCAGTTGGCTTAAAATTCAAATTGTATTGATAGTTTGTGAAAATTTAATTCAAAATCAATGATATTGAATTTTTCAGTAATTTTCGTCGAAAAATCTAAAATATTACCTATTCGGGACCGCAGAAACGGCGCGCGATGAAAAATAATGTAACGCTAAGCTGACCCGTCGCAGGAATAGAATCCCGGAGTCTGGATGGCGCGCGCCCTCTCGCCTATATATACCGGCCTCTCGCCTATCCAGCCTCAGTCGCAGTCAAGCTTTCACCAAGCTTCAAACTAAATTTCTGTCTTTAGTGTCTTAGTGTACAACCACCCAAAACAGACAACATGTGTGACGACGATGTTGCGGCTCTTGTCGTTGACAACGGTTCCGGTATGTGCAAAGCCGGTTTCGCCGGAGACGATGCCCCACGTGCCGTGTTCCCATCGATCGTGGGTCGCCCCAGGCATCAAGGTGTCATGGTCGGTATGGGACAAAAAGACTCATACGTAGGAGACGAAGCCCAAAGCAAAAGAGGTATCCTCACTTTGAAATACCCCATTGAACACGGTATCATCACCAACTGGGATGATATGGAAAAAATCTGGCATCACACCTTCTACAACGAATTGCGTGTTGCCCCAGAAGAACACCCAGTTCTCTTGACCGAAGCTCCATTGAACCCAAAAGCCAACAGAGAAAAGATGACCCAAATCATGTTTGAAACCTTCAACACCCCCGCCATGTATGTAGCCATCCAAGCCGTACTTTCCCTATACGCTTCCGGTCGTACCACCGGTATCGTTTTGGACTCCGGAGATGGTGTCACCCACACCGTACCAATCTACGAAGGTTACGCCTTGCCCCACGCTATCTTGCGTTTGGACTTGGCCGGTCGTGACTTGACCGACTACTTGATGAAAATCTTGACCGAAAGAGGTTACTCATTCACCACCACAGCTGAAAGAGAAATCGTCCGTGACATCAAAGAAAAATTGTGCTATGTCGCTTTGGACTTCGAACAAGAAATGGCCACCGCCGCCGCTTCAACCTCTTTGGAAAAATCCTACGAATTGCCCGACGGACAAGTCATCACCATCGGTAACGAACGTTTCCGTTGCCCAGAAGCTCTTTTCCAACCTTCCTTCTTGGGTATGGAATCTTGCGGTATCCACGAAACCGTCTACAACTCCATCATGAAGTGTGACGTAGACATCAGGAAAGACTTGTACGCCAACACTGTTCTTTCCGGTGGTACCACCATGTACCCAGGTATTGCTGACCGTATGCAAAAAGAAATCACCGCTTTGGCTCCATCTACCATCAAGATCAAGATCATCGCCCCACCAGAAAGGAAATACTCCGTATGGATCGGTGGTTCCATCTTGGCCTCTTTGTCCACCTTCCAACAGATGTGGATCTCCAAACAAGAATACGACGAATCCGGCCCTGGAATCGTTCACCGCAAGTGCTTCTAAACAATTCTATATTTATTACATGTTGTTTCTTTTTTTTTTTCAAAACATCTCAATTATTTATGCGACAGTGGTTGTACTAAAGACAGACTTTTTTTTACAAGAACAAACACCCTTGTATATAACTATTTAACATCTTGTATTTTATTAATAATGTATTAATTTTTATTACTATTTTAGGCAGGTCATACATAATAAAAACACCCTAATTTTTAGTAATAAATTGCCTTATTTTATTTTACCAACATAATTATTATGTAATTTTTTTTAATAAACTTATATTGGTTTAGTTATTTTTGCTTTTAATTCAAAAAACCCTCAAAACAAATAGAAAATGCATATATTAATAAACGCTCAAGTGGTCCTAAAAATATATCTAAATAAAAATCTAAATTTAGTAAGCACTCCTTTTAAGGCAATCCAAACTTGCTTGGGAGGCCCACACCAGAAGGGTTCTATTTTTAAATTTTTCGAAAATAACTCGCCTATGTTAAGAACTAGGAATTTTGTAATATCCACACTCTCTGGATCTATTCTTAGATCCGAACAACTTATATGGTAGCGGCCAGAGGAATCTACAAATTTGGTCGTGGAAATTGATATTTTTTTGTTTAATGGTTTTTGTTCCAGGCTATTAAAGTTTTATTTACCCAATTGGCTCTGGATTGTGAAAATAAATTGGATATTTAATTTTGGTTTGTTTGATGTCTGGATTGGACAATTCTTGCCCAAAAATATCGGACAAAAGGCTTTTTTGTGTACTCAGTAAAATGAAATAAGATTTTTTGTGTTTAGGATTAGGCTTTTTCTCATGTTTTATAATTTAAATCGAGTTTTTATCCATCATAGAGGGTAGAGGGTATAAGAAACCAGAAACCTGAAAGAGATAACTTTTCCAAATAAATACTTACCTATAAAGATATCTTCTCAAATACATATCCATTTAGTAAGAAGGTACCTACCTTATGATTTAGATTTTGGAAAACTTTGGAAGGTCATAACTTTTTTTCTATTGAAGATATAAAGCTGAAATTTTCAGTGATTCTTATTCCATTAGAGGACCACAATCCCTGGAAATTTCAACTCATTTGAAAAAAAACGTGTTAAGCAATTTAGGTTGATTTGTCAATTTTTCAATTTTTCTGAGTGCCTTTTTTCATGGATTTCAGCTTCAAAACTGAGAATAATTTAGTCTATGGAGTTTGGGGATGTTTACTGACCATTAGGATACAAAATCTCGACAAAAGAAAATTTGAAATTTCATCATTTTAGTAAAAAGGTAAATACCTACCTTATGATTTAGATTTTGGAAAATTTTGAAAGGTGATAACTTTTTTTCTATTATAGATAGAAAGCTGAAACTTTCACTGAATTTTATCCCAATCAAGAGACTACAATCCCCTCGACAATCCCTGAAAATTTCAGCTCATTTGCACTTATAGTTCCTGAGATAAAATCGTGTTAAGCAATTTGGGGTGATTTATCAATTTTTCAATTTTTCTGAGTGCCTTTTTTCATAGATTTCGGCTTCAAATCTGAGAATAATTTAGTCTATGGAGTTTGGGGATTTTTACTGACCATTAGGATACAAAATCTCGACAAAAGAAAATTTGAAATTTCATCATTTTAGTAAAAAGGTAAATACCTACCTTATGATTTAGATTTTGGAAAATTTTGAAAGGTCATAACTTTTTTTCTATTATAGATAGAAGGCTGAAACTTTCACCGAATTTTATTCCAATCAAGAGACTACAATCCCCTCGACAATCCCTGAAAATTTCAGTTCATTTGCACTTATAGTTCCTGAGATAAAATCGTGTTAAGCAATTCGGGGTAATTTATCAATTTTTCAATTTTTCTGAGTGCCTTTTTCCATAGATTTCGGCTTCAAATCTGTGAATAATTTATTATATGGAGTTTGGGGATGTTTACTGACCATTAGGATACAAAATCTCGACAAAGAAAATTTGAAATTTCATCATTTTAGTAAGAAGGTAAATACCTACCTTATGATTTAGATTTTGGAAAATTTTGAAAGGTCATAACTTTTTTTCTATTATAGATAGAAGGCTGAAACTTTCACTGAATTTTATCTCAATCAAGACACTACAATCCCTGAAAATTTCAGTTCATTTGCACTTATAGTTCCTGAGATAAAATCGTGTTAAGCAATTTGGGGTGATTTATCAATTTTTCAATTTTTCTGAGTGCCTTTTTTCATAGATTTCGGCTTCAAATCTGAGAATAATTGATCATCAGGATACAAAATCTCGACAAAAGAAAATTTGAAATTTCATCATTTTAGTAAGAAGGTAGCTACCTTATGATTTAGATTTTGGAAAACTTTGACAAAAAGCTGATGCATTGGCAAAAAGAGTTATTAAAGAAGAAAAAAGAAAAAATTAGTAAAATTACTGCTCTTCCTTAAATAGTAATACTCCAATGAAGGAGGTTTGGAAAAAAGTTAATAGTTTTAATCATCGGAAAAAGGAAAACCAAATTCCCATAAGCTTAGAAGATCCCTGGATAGAAGATTTTCACATTCGATTAACTCCCCACTTTGTGACGAGTAAATATCCAATACCGAATGAATATTCAGAATTAGATAATCATTATTTATGTAACCTTTTCAAAATGGAGGAACTGAATAAAGCTGTGAAAGTCAACAATAACACTGCCCCAGGAAAAGACAATATACAATACTCTATGATATCGAATCTTCCCACATTGCCAAAAAAAATTCTTCTCGACATATTCAATAAAATATTAAAAGGAGACCACCCAATTCCTTGAGACTGGAAGGAATATATCTTAGTACCAATATTGAAACCTGGTAAACCTAAAAACCAATCCAAATCATATCGACCAATTGCTCTTGCTTCTTGCATATTAAAAACATATGAAAGATTGCTAAAAAATAGGATTGAGTTTTGGATGGAATCGAAGAAAATAATGCCAATTACTCAAAAAGGATTTAGAATAGGAAATTCTGCCATTGAAGCAGTATCTAGCCTGGTCACAGAAATACAATTAGGACTTACTGAAAACACTTCAGTATTGTTTTTAGACATCCAAGGAGCTTATGATAATGTGAAATATGATATTCTCGTTAGGAAATTGCAACAAATTGGGATTCCTGAAAGAATTGTACATAATATTTTGTCAATACATAGCAATCGATTCGTATATATAAGAACAACCGATGGACTTACAGAGAGAGGCACGGATGGCTCAAGTTGGGTTATCGCAAGGAGGAATTCTCAGCCCGATTCTTTATATAATTTATACTAACGACCTGGAAAAACTGTTTGATAATCAAGTCAAAATTCTTCAATTTGCAGATGATGTCTGTATTTTTTCAAAGGACAAGTCAATAGAAGAATGCAATAGTAAAATAGAACCCAAGCTTTCAAAAACCCTACAGTGGTTTAACAATAATGGGTTAAGCATTTCTGCAGAAAAAACATCGATATGTATATTTACAAGGAAAAGAACAAACCTACCTAATGAAATAGAAATGTCAAGACTCCAGATTTCATGTAAAAATACCGCAAATATCTTGGGGTTTTACTTGATAAAAAGCTGTTATGGAAAGACCACATTAACTATCTCATTAAGCGAGCTGAAAATGGAATAAACATTATAAGGGTTTTCAACCACAAGAAATAGGGAGCTGGTCTATCTTGGACTACGCATGCCAACTTTATGGTTCAGCCGCCAATAATCACCTTAATAAAATTGAAGTAGTCAAAAACAAATGTCTAAGACATTGTGTAGGATATCTTAGAAGCACCCCCGTTGCAGTAATGGAAGCGGCAACATATTATGATTTTACATAACCCCAAAAAAGTCTGGGAAATCCGAGCCTGCATTTTGGCTTTCCATTTATATATGTACTGCACTGGTGCGCGTTTTGACAGCACTAGAAAAATTCTCGTGCGCACTGAATGCTGCACTGAGACGACAAATGGAAAACACCATTAATAGCCGTTAAAAACTCGATTTCGTCATAATCAGCCATTTTTAAGACAAACATAAATACAGTGTATCCGAAATTCGAGTCTCTATATATGGGGATCCTGCTTATTATAAGAGATACAGGGTGGCTCAAAATAGGAAAGTTTTAGGGAATTTATTGCTCATTTATATCCTGTTGTTAAATTTGCTTCAAAGTTTTCTGTTTCCTAAAAATCCGAGAAAAACTGAAAACAGCCAATTTGGTTTTTTGTCAATAATTCATAAACCGTTAACTTTAGACTTTTCTCACTTTAACATTATTCAAACACTTTTTTGAGACAGATATTTTCGTGATTTGAAAACATTCCGATCGTCGTCTGTTTTCGAGTTATTAACCAAACTTTTCTTATTTCTTATGGCGGCCATCCTAAATTTCAACAAAATAATATTCTTCGAAAAAAATCCTTTAAAATGATGTATTACAAGCTATGAAAAAGTTTTGCAAGTCCTTCAAAATACAGTTGGAACCGATTTTTTGCTAAATTTGGCAACACTGCTCATAATTATAAGAATAAAAGCAAATAAGTATAAGTAATAAGTAAAGTCTGTTTTTTTTTTTCAAAGATAAAAGTCAAAATGACATTATGTTGGCAATACAATGGAACATTGTCAATGCTTTCAAATTTTTATGTAGAAAAGGCTTGAGTTGCCAACATAGTTACTAAATTCTTGACTTGGGGAATTATCTTAAAAAAAAAAAACAGATTTTATGATTTAATATTAGGATCGGTATTTTTGAAGTCTTCTGGCAATTTTACTGAAAGAAAAAAAAAGTAAGGGGGAATGAAGTAAGGGATAATCAGCCGTATGAATAAAAATAGAGCATTTGCTTCTAAGCAAAAGGTAGAAGTATAAGCAAAAGCTTCAAGTAAAAGGTAGAAGTAGAAGCATTTACTTCATATCATATGAATAATGAAGACCTTTTACTTGCGAGCATATACTTCACAGAAATGAAGTAAAAGCCTACCTGTTGTACCTGTTGCTTGAATCTAAGACTTAAATCCCAAATTAAACCACCAGATCGATAACATCAATGGACTTTGACATTCCATAGGAAGTGGTAGTAAAAGAACGCCAATCATGGAAGGACGCAAGGCTACCACAAGTGGATAACGCATCATTGTGGTACCGTTGATTGGTGGTACACAGTCACACAGGTGGTTCGATGCTAACGGAAGGAGTCGGTCTGGATAACTGGATCAAACTTTAAAGTTTAAACTCTCATTAGCAATAGGTAAAACGTCCACAAAATTTCAAACTCAGGTTCTGGCCATAAACAAGGAGCTTTAACACCTTTTCAAGGCTCAGAGCCTTTTTGTGTATCAATGAAAA